CCCAGAGTCCACAGTGAGTGCTGCCTGAGCGAACACATGGGAAGTGCCCAGGCTCGTGACTCAGAGCTGAACACTAGCTCCAGGGTCCCCGGTGAATCCCCTTTCGGGGGGCCCAGTGGGGTTGTTAGGAACTGGCCACATACCCCAGCCTGTGCCCACCGTGCCTGGTGACCTGCGTTCCTTTCTCGGCCTCCGAGAGGGCTCAGGGCAGCACGGGCGCCCAGGACCCAGCCTGCCGGCACCCTCAGGCGCCACCTCCGCTCCCCTCGACATCTTTCTCGGTCCGGCTCCTTCCCATCAGCACCAAAAGGCGTCCCCGGCAATCTCGCGCTCTTCCCCTGGCTGGCTTCCCTCCCCTCTGCCTGTCTCTCCGGCCCAGGCCCTCACCTTCTGCCCCTGCACCCCACTCTCCTCCAGCTTCCACACCCCACCCCAGCACTGCTTACACGGGGCTCTCACCAGGGCCTCCCAAGATGCCAGGACCCCGTGCGTGTGTGCTTCCTCTCGAACCTCATCCCCACAGCTCCCTGGGGACCACCCCCTCTTCACGTCCCCTCCCGCTCCGCGGCTGCCCAAACATTAAATGTTGGCTTCCAGTGGTTCTCGCTAGGAGCCCTCTGCGCATTCCAGTCGGCGGCTTCGATCGCTACTCCCCGGGGATGAGCCCCAACCTGCTCCCCCCACTCCCTTCATCTGAGCCCCAGGCGGGGGTATCCACCTGCTGGCTTCCACGGCAACGCGGTGCACCCGGGGCTCCGGCATCATCCCTCAGCAGCCAGGATTTACAGAGCGCCTACCATGTGCCGGGTGTTGGGGGTGCAGTAGGAACCATGCCAGACAGGGACGCAGGCCCTTGAAGGCAGACGCAGACCACACAGATAGAACTACAGCATTGCAGGGGCGCCTGGGTGGCGCAGTCGGTTAAGCGTCCGACTACAGCCAGGTCACGATCTCGCGGTCCATGAGTTCGAGCCCCGCGTCAGGCTCTGGGCTGATGTCTCAGACCCTGGAGCCTGTTTCCGATTCTGTGTCTCCCTCTCTCTCTGCCCCTCCCCCGTTCATGATCTGTCTCTCTCTGTCCCAAAAATAAATAAACGTTGAAAAAAAATTAAAAAAAAAAAAAAGAACTACAGCATTGCAGAATGTCCGGCAACGGTCTGGAGTACGGAGAACAGTAAAGCAAGGGAGGGAGGGGCGGGGTTGGGGGCTGCGTCACAGCTTTATGTGGAGGGGTCCCTCAGGACTGGCATCCGAAGGCGGGGGAGTGAGTCACACACACACCTGGGGGAAGAGCACTGCCAGCCGTGGAACAGCAGGTGCAAAGGCCCTGAGGTTCAGGATGCCCCAGGGATCAGCCTGAGCATGCCGTCGGAGCTGGAGGCAGGGGCCTGCTTAGTGGGGGCGGGGAGGGTGTCACAAACTCTGTTTCGGACCTGCTGAGTGGAAGATGCCATACAGGTAGTGCACCTGTGAGCCCGGGGTTCAGGGTCCAGGCCCGGCCGGAGATGAAAACTTGGGAGCATCACAAGGCGTGTGAAACGGGGGGTCTAGCAGACACAACCCCAGGGATGGGCGGGAGTGAGCGGAGACAGAAGGCCCAAGCAGCGAGGCACCTCAACAGTCACAAGACAGGGACGTGGGCAAGAATCCTGAGGGAGCATCAGCGAGGTGGGTGGGTGTGTGGGGGCCCGGGTGACGAGGGGTTTCCAGGAAGTGGTAGTGATCAACTTGGAGGCGACCGCGGCGGGTCGGTGAGAAGTGACAACTGACAACGGGGTCCAGTGGTACGCGCGGCGTGGGGGTGGGAGGGAAGCGGGACAGCAGCCCCTTCAGTGAGGTGGCGGGGAGACCGCTGGAGGGGATTTTGAAACGGCAGGAGCAACAGCGTGTTTGCACGTTGACGGGGAAACCAATGCTGCGAGAGGGGAGAACGGCTGGGGCGGCCCTCTGATAGGTGAGGGGGCACAAAAGGGTTCCTCTGGAGCGGGGGGGGGGGGGGTGCTTAGCTAGAGCAGGGGAAGATCGTGCACAGTAACAGGAGAGAAGGCCAAGGCCCAGGGACGCAGGGAGGCCAGGCGAGCTCTTCTGGTTGCTTCTGGCTCCTTGACGGGTGGATGTAAAGTGACCAGCCGACGGAAGTGGGAGGGAGGTGTGAGAAGGTGCCAGAGTCACAGAGAAGGTGGGGGACAGTGGTCTAGGAAGGCACAAGGGCGACCCGAGTACCAGGGAATGTGGCGGGAAAACCAGTAACATGAAGGGTCCGCTGAGGGGAGCAAAGGGGAGACCAGTCAGCGAGGTTGGGGGTTTCTCTCCCGTGATACTCAGCTGCACCTCCTGCCAGGAGGGAGAGCCGAGTTTCAGCAGGTCAGTGGAGCACAGGCCCGTGGGATTATGGGCCACGCGAGGGGCGATGGGCAGTGGATCAGGAGGTGGGGGGACTGATGGACTGCAGGTGCAGGCGGGGCTGCAGGACTCTCAGGATTTGGGGCACCGGAGGCGTCCGCCTCCTGGTTCTCTCGAACCCAGACCTCTCTGCACACCACCGGCTTCGGTCGCCCTGCCTGTGGCCCGCCCAGCAGCCAGCACAACCTTTGACAAAGCAAATCTGGTCAGAAGCACTGACCCTCCCCTCTCCTTGTATGTCCTACGTATCCCTCTCAGATCTCGCCTCCAGCCACCGACTCCTGGGAGCCTGCCTTGATATCCCCCAGGGGCGGCGCCCGAGATAATGCCTGGCTCCGCTGTCTCTCCCACGGGGCTGGGGCTCTCTTTAGTCACTGCCTGATGTATGCGCGGTGACCTGGCCAGGTTGGCTCTCCATGTGCTTGACATTACTCATTAAAAAAAAGAAGCAACGAGCGGGACAGCATGTGCGGCGCGAGCCCCCCTTTAGCTTTGTGTACACCCCCAAACAGCAGCGATATCTGGATAGAGGTACGGTGGGCACGCCCCTTCCGTGATAAGCCCTCCCCTGGCTCCCCAGGAATTCCGGGACTGAGCTCAGCTCCGCCCGCCTCATTAGGCTCCCGACTGTCACTCTCGCCCCCGGGCTTTTCGCTCACACCGTGACTTCTGCCTGGGACGCCTCCACACTCAGGCAGGCTCACGCGTGTCCTCCGGACTCTTCCGGGCCGAGACCAGGGCTGAGCCCAGACACAGCACGAGAAGCCCGAACCCAACCCCGGGGACCCCGGGATTCGGGGGTTCGCGCCCCGAGCCCGCCGGCCGCGCCTGCGCACTGGGCCTCACCGCGCTCCTTGCGACCCGGGAAGCCGTAGTCGGGGGGGAAGGTGGGCATCCGCTGGGGGTCGGGTTCCCCCGACGGATCGGTCACGTAGCGCCGGGCGAGATGCGCCCCCATGGCTGCAGTAGCCGCAGGTTCCTGCAGCCGCCGGGGTCACCTCGCTCCTACCCGGAAGCACTGCCCCTTCGCCGGCCACGGCTTCCGGGTTGTGCAGGCCGCAGCCGGGATCAGGGAGATGAACGACTCCGGAGGACTTCCGTTTTCTCTGGCTCCACCTGGCGGTCAGGCGGAGACAGCACAGGCGCAGCGCGTCCTTTCTAGGGATCAGGTGGATTCCAGAAGGGGGGCTTCCTGCTTCTGGAAACCAGCGGGGCAGGCGATGAGGGACAGTGGGGCCAGGGGCCAGGGGCCTTTCCCTCCCCTCCCCGGGCGCCTCTGGTCTCCCGGGGCTAGAGCATAAATGAAAGTTATTTTTCATAGTATACAGTATTTCCCTCCAAAAACGTTTTTCCTCTAGAACTTTTGACTTTGTCTTAAAAACAAAACGAAACAAAAACAAAACCCTGCACAGTACTGGTAATATAATTAGCAAACATCAAAAGTTTAAATACAGTTACTCACAATCAATACTTTAATTGATTAAACTGAATTCAAATAATCAAATAAAGTTATTTATAAATAAAAGTATTTAAAGCTGACATTTTAAATAAATCCCATTGGATACTTTTGTAAAAATAAAATAAGATGCAATTGTAGATGCATTTCTACATGCATAAAATAAGATGCATTTCTACCCTGGTCATGATCCCAGGGCCGTGGGATAGAGCCCTGAGACTGGCTCCGCGCGGAGCGTGGAGCCTGCCCAAGATTCTCTTTTTCCCTCCCTCCTTCTCCCCCCACACTTTCTCTCTCTCTCTCTCTCTCTCAAATAATAATAAAAATCTAGGGGCGTCTGGGTGACTCAGTTGGTTAAGCGTCTAACTCTTGATTTCGGGTCAGGTCATGATCTCACAGTTTGTGGGTTGGAGCCCCACCTCGGCCTCTGTGCTGTGCCCAAGGGCCTGCCTGGGATTCTCTCTCTCCTTCCCTCTCTCTCTGCCCCTCCCTTGCTTGTTTGCTTTCTCTCTCAGAATACGTAAATATTTTATTTAAGTAAATATTTTAAATATTTCTCTCTCAGAATAAATAAATACTTTACACTTTAAACAAAGTAATAGCTTTATAAAGAAAAAAGATGCAATTCTACTAGTCCTCTAATGGCCACTCTAAAGAATTGGTATTACACTTCACGCTTGTTACATTAGGGCTTGCACGTATGAAAATTTAAGAGTACAGAACACAGTTTGATGCCGCCGGATACGCTTCTTGGCCTCAGCGTTCAACTGTACCAAATGCTGTGCAAATTTGTTCCTGTCCGGAAACCCGCACAGGCTCACAAAGAGGAGTCGTTCAATGGGTGCTTGGCAGTGTCTCGTGCACCTGGCAGAAAGGAAGTTAGATCGTGTCATTCCTCGGCTGCAACCCTCTCCTGGTCCCTCATTTCATATGGAGTAAAAGCTGGACCCAGCCCCAAAGGGTCGGACTCAGGAGGTATGGGGTGGGTTCCCAGAATCTGCATTTCTAACACGTTTCCGGGTGTTGGCGATGTTGCTGGTCTGAAAACCACCCTTGGGGGAATTGCTGAGCTGACCTTCACGTGCTGACACGGAGAAGTGGCCGCAATACGTTATTAGATGGAGAAAACAGGCTCTCGGGGATGGACCCACAGTGTCGGAGACTTCCTTTCCAGGGCTACTTGGGACCTGACCCAGGAGCATGACATAGAGTTGTGATTTTTGTGCTCTTTCGGACTCCAGGGGGCAGCATTCACATTGCAGTCTTTCTGAACGGCGCTCCTGGAATTGCGCAGTGTACCATCTGCACAGCTGTACCAGGCAGCCCAACCTTGTTCCGGATGTCTCTCCTCCCCCTCCCTTTCTCTGGGCTTCAGCTGCTTACCCACAGGTGACGGGCTGCGTAAGCGTCTATGCGGTCAACAGATGAATAACCGGAGAGCGTGGTTTGGAGGCGTCAGTTAGGTGGTCGCACGAAAAGCGCTCACTGCCTGGTATACAGTAGGCGCCCAGTACTTGCTTGCCACGATTACTCGTGTCCGGGCTGCCCCCTAACTGGAAGGCAGGAGGCGGGGAAAAGGAAGCCGCGTTGCAAATGGAGCGGGGCGGCCAGGAGGGGGCGCTCTCGCGCCCTACCGCCCTCCTCCATAGCAGAACCTGCAGAAGAGGTACCTTGCTGAGATTTGCTCCCTCCGCAGAGAGGGTGAAAGAGTTCCTCCTTGGAGGCGACGGCCCAGCGGGTGAGACAAGGTCACGACTCAGCCCGTGAGCAGCCAGCACACTTGCAACTCCAGATTTGTTCCAGCGGACTTTTTGTATACAAGAGGCCCTCCGACCCCCTCTTTCCTTTACAGAAGAGCAGGCCTCCCCTTGGTTCTCTGGACTCGCCTGTGGTTTGGCCGCACCTTGCTCATCCCGGGGTGCGATTCTCTGCTTTTCCCAAACACACTCATTTTGCTGGTCAAATAATTGGCTGTTTTATTTATTTATTTATTTATTTATTTATTTATTTATTTATTTATTTTTTCCGGGTTAACAAAGGGCAACCAGAGAGAAGGCTCCTGGACCAGTCATTTCACTAGAGGCTGAAGGGTGAGGGGAAGGGGCCCATTTTTGTGCCGGGGACCGTGGACTCGAATGCCTCAGTGTGGCCTGTGCATACTCAGAGTTGGGACCTGGGGGAGATGGTGTCAGGGGGACGGTGGTATGACGCAGCCTGTGGCGGGGTGAGGAAGGGGCCGGGCCTTGGCCAACGGGGCCACGCAATCTTCCTGTTTTTCTCTACTAACCATTTGACAAACAGACTTTCCGGTGTCCCCTGTCCACCCCCCCTCCCCTCTCCCCCCCTCCCCCCCCATAGGCTGGTTCACTGCTCACAGCCCCCCACCCCTCCTTCCTGCTTCCCTCGCCACCCTCTCCTGCCTCCTGTGGCCTGCCCCAGGCAGGTGCTGTCTTAACATTTCTGAGCAGAACAGTCTCAGAGGCCCAAGTGGGCCCCCGGGGTGAGAAGGAAATTCTGGGCGGTGTCTACGCCTTGCCACGGTCTGCTGGATGGGAGATAGGAAGCTTTGGGTAATTCGGTTCAGGGGGAGGAGGAAAAACAAGGTCAGCGAGGCCTAGAAAGCCCCTGGGGCAGGCCTTAATCTGCCCACGAGGCAGAAAAGATGGCGTCTGTAATCTGGCCCTGGAGCCGCCCTGGGATTGCGGCTGCCTGCGGGGAGGTTGGCTGGTTGGTGTTGGAGGGATGAGTGAGGGGCTTGGCCTCCTGGGTGGCCTTCGTCAGGGCTGGGCAGATAGGCCAGTCACTCATTCATTCAACAAACACCCATTGGACACCAACTGTGTGCCGTGTAGCGGAGCTGAGCTGTTAATGGGGGGCAGACAGGCAATGGACAAGAGAAAGAACTGAGGGATATGGAATGTCAGATGGTGATGACTATCACGGAGAATTATAAAGAATGGAGGGTTGGGAGGAGGGCCGGTTGTTAAAGAAACGCTCACGGAGAAGGGGGACATTTCCTGTTTTTTTGAACACACCTCAGGGCCTTTGCACAGCCTGGATTCCTCTTCCACCAGATAGCCAGCCATTATCCGTGGCCTTCCTCCACGTCCTCCAGTCTATTCCAGTCGTCAGGCTTTTCCCCGATCACCTTTTTATTTTATTTATTCTATTTTATTTATTTTTAACATTTTTTTTAAAGTTTATTTCTGATAGAGAGAGCAAACGAGCATGAGCAGGGGAAGAGCAGAGAGAGGGAGACACAGAATCCAAAGCAGGTTCCAGGCTCTGAGCTGTCAGCACAGAGCCCGATGTGGAGCTCGAACCCACGAGCTGTGAGATCATGACCTGAGCCGGAGACGGACGCTCAGGCGCCCCACCTTTTTCTTCTTTTTAAAAATTGAGATATAAATGACACATGACATCATATTAGTGTCAGATGCGCAACATAATGCTTCTACATATGTGTATATGGCAAAGCGATTGCCACAAGAAATCTAGTTCGCATCCACTCAGAGTTACAATTTTTTTCTTGTGATGAGAACTTTATTTATGTGTTTATTTGAGAGTGAGCGAGTGAGAGAATTCCAAGCAGGCTCCACGCTCCGTGCAGAGCCCAACATGGGGCTCAGTCTCGTGAACCCTGAGGCCATGCCCTGAGCCAGTATCAAGAGTTGGATGCTTAACCGATGAGTCACCCAGGCGCCCCGAGAAAGACGGATCTTTTTGAGTGTTCCCTATTTGGCTTCTTGTGAACAGTGTTAGTGAATGGATGGGTAGGCAACCCTGTAAAGAATGTAGAAAATTGCCTAGAAAGATGTTTCCAAGAGTGTTACTCGGGGGAAAAAAAAAAAAAAAAACACCAAAAAAAAAAAAAAAAAAGGACTCTCAGCAACTTTCAAATATACCCCATCCCCTGCTTCAACATAAGCATCCGTGCCCTGTGTCGCCCCCTTAGCCCTGCTTTCGCTGTACCCCCCGCAGTTTGATATGGCATCCTTTCACTTTTCGTCAGTTAAAAATATTTTTAATTTTCAACTTCCTCTTTGACCTGTGGGTGTGATTCAATTTCCAAACACTTGCGGGTTTTCCAGATACCGTTCTGCGAGTTCTAGTTTGATTCGCATCCGGTCTGAGAACATGCTTTGTGAGATTTCCATTCTGTGATCTTCCTTTGTGTTGTGTTGTTGTTGAACGAGGTATCCCAGTACCCTGGAATATAGCGTAACACATAGGGAGTTGTGGGATGAAATGAACAACTGAATCCCCGATCCCCATTGGGCCTATCAGAAGACCTTTGCTCAGAGATGTTGTTCTACTCCCCTGGGGTCACGCAGCAAGACTGGGGCAGAGCTGGGGTCAGCCTGGGCCCGTGGCCTTATGTATGCCCGGTTGATGGGACTGGATTCCTCTACCAGGTCCTGAGCACCCACTGTGTGGCCGGCCCTGCAGGATGGCCTTGGCCGTGTGGCCATTACCAGCTCCCAGCGAGACCATCCTGCCTTCGCCGCCCTGATCTTGCCCCAGATCCGCTCACCTCAAGGGGCGCCCTTGGTGGGGCAGAGATGCTATCAGTCCTCTTGG